GTGAGTGAGATACAGTCAGACAAGATGTTGGAAGGGGTGAGTGAGATACTGTCCGACAGGATGCAGGAAGGGGTGAGGGAGATACTGTCCGACAGGATGCAGGAAGGGGTGAGGGAGATAACAATCCGCATGAGGAAAGGGGTGAAAGTTATAGTAGGACAGGATAAGGAAAAAGGTGAGATACAGCCAGACAGGATGTTGGAAGGAAAGAATAACATTTCCGTCTAATCAAGATGATAATACAAATCTTTATCAGTGAAGAGCTGTGTGCTACTCTATTCTTAAACGCTCGTTGGAAGCCTAAAGAGCTCACACTTGTAGCCCACACAGTAGCTCTGCCGTATTCCAACACTCACCTATTCTTTTCATATCATTGAAATCTGGTTCCGGCTCAGTGTATGGCTTGAGTTCTTCCTCTTCATGACCTACATTCATCCATCGGTCTTTCATGATTTGCTAGGAGATAAGGTCCATGTTACTTTTGGTCAAGCACAACACTCAACCACATTTTAGCTTTCTAAGAGGGACAACGAACCTTTTAGAAGTTTTTGTCCACCCTGCTCTGTAAACACCTGCATAAATCATTGGTTCACTCAGAGCTGCAGGGCATCTTCAGATCAAGTGGCTGGTTACTGGTGCAGCTAGAGGCGTAAGGCGTGGGACACAGCGTTCTGTGACACTAGTGCCTGATGCCACACGCTCACCAAGTGTCTGATGCCAAGAATGACCCTCCCACCCTTGTTTAAAAGGACTATTTTCAAATGTGAAGCACATAACATAAGAAGCTACTCATTTAACAGCCTCATAGTTTCACATTCAAGATGAATGCAAAGATTCTGATTTTTTTTTCAATTCAACTAAACAGACACTTGTATTTATTTATTTATTTATTTACTTATTTACGGAACCCTGTTGCTCCAGGACTCCCCCCCCCCACCACCAGGGATTGAACTCAGGCCCTTGCACTTGCCAGGGAAACGCTTATTCCACTAAGTCATCTCCTCAGTCCTTCTTCTTCTTCTTCTTCTTTTTTTTTTGTATTTAAAAATCACTTATTAACATATCAGGAAAAGAAATTATGAGGAATGGAAATCAATAATGACAACTCAAAAGACATGGGAAGGGAAGATAGCTAAAAAACGCAGGTTAGAACTAGAATTAAGTCAAAAGCCAGGTGGGAATAGTGCAGACCTAAGTCACCGAGGCAGACTGAAGCCGAGCTAGGGAGCAGCGGACAGTGCTGGGCCGAAGCCCTGAGCAGCCCGTAGGACAACCCCCAGGTGAGGAAAAGCAATTGTGAACCACACACTGGTCAAGGGTCATTATCCAGAATACGCAAAGAACTCCTACAACTCAATAACACAAAGATTAACATCCTGATTTTAAAATGGACAAAGGAAGTAAACAGGGATTTCTCTAGAGAAGATACCGTGGGCAACAAATATATGCAAAGGTGCTTACACAAAATCCTAATCATAAAAGAAAGCCATGTCGCATGAGACGCCATCTCCTACCTATTAGGGTGGCAACTGTGAAAACCACTCAAAAAATAAGGGACCACAGGATGTGGACAGCTGGGGCCCTTGGGACGCACTGAAGGCCGTGTAAAAGGTGCAGCCTTTATAGAAAGAGCACAGAGTTTCTTCAAAAACTGAAGAGAACTACCACACCCGCCGTCAGTCCCTCTTCGAGAATGTACTCAAAAGAGCCAGCGCAGGAGCGCCAGGCAGGGTCTCACGCCGCGCTCACTGCAGGGCCGTTCACGGCGGCCGAGAGGCTGAAGCCGCCCAAACACGCTCTGACGGACGACCGATATGGAAGAGGTTGCTCACTGTGCCCAGGGAAACGCTGCTCCAACCTGGGTGAGGTTAGGCCGGGCAGAGACAGCCGAGCCTGGGAAGGCCAGGCCTGCGTGCCCCACGTCTGCGAGGGCTCTCGGGCTGTGACTTACAGAAATATCAAGCGGAAGGCAGAGGAGCTGTCTAATGGGCCTGGAGCTTGGCCACGTACTGGGCTGCAGAGCCACCATGACTGCGCACACAGCTGGCCACGCGGCAACGCACACTCGGAGCTGTGAAGAGAGTCAACGCATGTCTGCGTCTCTACTCCCCCAAAGGGCGATCTCGTCGGGACACTGCACAGTCCCAGAAGACGGAGGACTGGGCCCTGGGGACAGACCTTAAGCTTTCATGCTGAAAGAGAAACAGGCTGGTACCTGAATAGTTCTGCATTAATCACAAACCTTTAACTTTATTACCACAGAATTCTAGACATTGTGCAACTGTTTTGTTTTTACAAGGTCTATAAAAAGCCCCTTCTACACCTTATCTGCCAAGAATCGACTAATAAAACAACGGCTTCCCAACACGCGTCCTTTGCAGGCTGGCCTGCACTGCTGGGGAATTTCCTTCCTTTATTCATCCAAAGTTAATTGCTAGAAGACAGACCTTCAAGCTGACCTCAGACAACTAGCTCCACGACCACGTGGCAGCACTGGGTGAGGGGGTTTCCAAAGCTCTCAGACCTGTGACAGACATTTCACCGAAAATCTGTGGGCAGTTCATGGACTAAGAAACATAGCCACGCAGACGTGGACCTCTCAGAAAGATCTCAGTTCACCTCTTACAGCCACTGTGAGCAGCGGCAGTGTAGGTACATCCCCCAACTTACTGGGATGGGAGGACTCCACTACTAATTGGAAAGCAATAAAGTCACTGCCTAATGAATGACTTTTTTTTGTTTTGGTGGCAGGAATTGAATTCAGGACCTTGTACTTGTCAGGCAGGCACGCAAGCCTCTGCGCTATCTCCTTGGCCCTGTGATGAGTCATTAGTGAAGACAAAAAACTGGTAGGCTCTGCATCCGGAGGAAAAATAAGGGCGGAGCAGAGCTGCAGGTTCCCGGCAGCTTCCCCAAGTCAAGCTGCTCTGCCTGCACCAGTCCTCCCTAAGGGCGCATCTGAAGCTGCTTACGGAGTTGGGAACGAGACTTGTAGAGCGAAATTTTCTTGTTGGCAGCGCTTCATAGGTTGGAAGAATACAGTATTCCTCCTCCACCTGTACTTCTGCTTTCAAATGTGGTCAAATGCACTCTGAGGAGAGTGGGGGGCGATTCCAAGTCAGTAACTCCTGTTTCCAAGTCCATGCCAGGCCACAGTTTCACTGAACACAGCTCTGCTGTGCGTGCTGTCACACTCAGTGTGACGATCCCGCTGCTAAGTGACAGCCGCTGGACAGGGCATGCAAGGTGGATATGCCCACATCCCACGACACAGGACAGGCAGTGCAGGAAGTCCCGGAGCTTACTCCACACAGTTTCCTGGGCTCGTGGCAAAGGCTGAAAGCAGCCCAGCGCCACCTGACACGGTCCCGCACTGTCTACCTCACTCCCCTCACCACAGCGGATGCACCTTCCCTTCCTGCACCATGAGCAAGAGCAGGAGCAAGAGCGAGAGCGAGAGACAGGCAGGCAGGCAGGCAGGCAGGCAGGCAGGCAGGCCCACCCCATTCACACGTCATCTTCATTTCTAGGTGCGGCCATTGTTGCTTTTTTTTTTTTTTTGTGGCCATTTCAAGATGCCCTGAGGGCACCTCTGGTTTCCTGGGAGAGACTGGGTTCGAACCAGAGCATCTTGAGCCTGACTGCTTTGTTTAAGCAGGCACTGAAACAACTGCGCTAATGGGCAGGCCCCTGGTTGTTGCATTTTAATACTGCTTATCACTGTTAGTCTCTTACTGGGTCTGGTTTGTAGACTAAGCTTTGTCCTAGGTGCATATGTGCTGGAAGAGCAGTACACACAAGCCCTCGTGTCTGGCACTTCCAGGAGCCCCTGGGCGGTCTTGGGCTGTTTCCCTGAGGACTGGGGTAGCGACCCTCCCTATAAACCCTCTGAACACAGTGACCCACGTAAGGGCCATCACTGAACATGCTCTGGGCCTCCTCTCCACGGCTCTGGTGGCACCTGCAAAACAACACACATTCAAAACAATTCTCACCAGGCTCCACCTGGCCATCGCCCACCTGCCCTGCACATTTGTCACGGAAGAGCTGGCAGAAAGGCAAAACAGCTGTGAGCTGGAGCTAAATCTTGCAAGTATTTCAAATCCACTCAAATGAACCTTCCACAATGTCCTCGAATTTCAGACGACAAGGTTCAGAATTTGGAAACAGTAACTATGGCCTGAGAATTGTGAACAGCGGAGCCTACGTGAAAATCAGGAAGAAAAAGGAAGGGTGAGCAATGAAGGACGGAAGCCTGGCAAGAGGAAGCGCGGCTCTGGAGGCGAGATCCCGGGCCCTAGGGGCCGTGGCCAGGCCAGCAGGGCACGTGGGGGGGCGTGACCCGCCTGGGAGCAGGGCCTGAGCCCGGCAGGGCGCAGCTCTGGCAGAGCAAGGCTGCCCTCATGAGCAGAGCAGGCTGCCAAGTCTCTGGCCGTGTGAAAGCACATCGGAGGGCTCAGGACGGAAGGACCAGACGCCGACCGAGGGTCTTAGCTGCAACCTACGATGACACTCTGAGGCAGAGGCAGGCAGCAGACACATTTTTTTAAGAAGGCTTTACTGATCTGGCAGGTAAAATGTAACCAAATGTCAGGACTGGACACAGGCAGAGCTGGAAAGGAGAGACGGATGGCGACACCCAGGTTTCAGGGCAGACGAAGGAACGAGAACAGCCTGAGCACAGCTCAGAGCTGTGCGGGAGCAGCCGGCCCAGGCCCCAGGGGGTACACAGGCGGGGGCCCGCAGCCTCGGGGTTGCAGCTCAGGACGAGGCCGACGCAGGTCAGTGTTTGTGGATACCGTTTTCTGGGTGACCACGGAGGACAGTGTGGCAGAGGCGCTCCAGGGAGAAGAAATGGAATCAGCAGCAGCACAGGAGGGCTCGGGGCGGAGCCTCCAGAGCACCAGCCACGCTTGACAGGGACGGAGCAGAGCCCACGGCAGATATGCTCCCGGGAGCCGGAGGGCGTGGCATCCTGCCAGCTTCTGCCAAGTACGGCAGGGACCAAGACACCAAGAGCCCTCTGTGCTCAGGCACAAGGATGGAGACCTCCAGAGGAGAGTGCCAGCGTGGCGGGGTGCTAGGAGCCAGAGGAAATGACCATGTGCAGGAGACGGGGGAGGACAACGGGTAGACCCTGAGGAGAGTCGGCTAGAAAGGAGCTGCTGGGAAGGGAGGCACCACAGGCCCGAAGACAGAAGCCTTGGACAATGTGGGCAGGGCAGGTCACAAAGCACACACCCGTCCCCACCCCAGAGGGCAGCCTGGGGAGCCGTAACAGAACTGGGGGTGTTACAGGTGAGGGGCACGAGAGGAGCCTGTGGCCCAGCGCTGTTCTCAGTGGAACACAGGGCAAGCTAGCTAGCCTAGAATGCATCCCTCTATTTTTCCCACCCAAGTTCTTTCTAATCTTCAAATGATCACAGAAAATCTAGGCCCCTTCTTGTACTCTCTTTGACCATACCCTGATCTTAAGTTAATGCAGCCTGTCATTACAGGAGTCTCTCACATTTACCTATTACTATGCATCACCACCAAGAGACTCTGAACCTTAAGGGAGAATGACCCATGTCGGCCCTGCGTACCCAACCCTGAGAGCACAGGACACTTAAGCGCTCACTACACATTCGTAGACCAGCTGCACAAGCCTGTGTCTGAATCTCTCAGGCATGCTTCCTGTGATCCCGCAGGGCTTGGTGAGACCCAACTGGGACTCTTGCCACTCTGGCTCCATCTCTGATTCCCACCAGTGTGTGTGGATTTATCTCCTTCAGTCTCTTCGCAGTCCCGGACTGTCACACGTCATCTTTTGCAGCACAAGCGACTGTCGTTTCTTCCTGCTGGATCCCAGGATCAGACAGGACTCGGAGCCCCTCAGCCAGCAGATGCCACAGACCAGAGCGGCAGTGAAGTTGGGAGGGGCCCCAGAGGCCCAGCCGCAGGGAACGGACAGAGCGCGCCCCCCAGCACCTGACGACAGGCTCACTTGGGTCCTGGAGATGAGGACGGAGTCCATGAAGGTTCTGAGGGTTTTTTTTTTTTTTTTTTTTTTTGGTTCTGAGGTTTTAACTCCGGCTGCCTGGCGGGATGCGGCTTCTAGGAATTCAGCAGGAGACACAGAGATTGCACTGGACCATAAACGTCACCAACGAAAGCAGCGGCGATCCACATCTTCTGGAGTTCCTCAGCTGTGCTGCGGCTTCCCTGGCGCTGCTCATGCCTCATCCGTGTGATCACATCAGGGGCAAACACGTGAGCCAACACACCTCACACACGTATCACATACACTAACACACTCCATCCACGTGGGCCACTGGGTGACCGGTCCCGACTGGGAAAGGGGATTTACTCAGGAAACCTGAGCATATCTGAACACACAACACTCAACTATTTGGAGCTGCACCTTAGCAGTGAGTACTAAGAAAGACAGAGTGGACCTACGTGCAGCGAGGCCTGCGCTCTCCCAGGAAGGAAGCACAGCAGGCAGGCGGAGCTCTGACTTGGCGATGGAAGTGGCCTGGCCAGATGGGCGGCTGCGGGAGGCTGAGGCTTGGGGCCGAGGTGACACGCCGAGAATTCGGGCCAGAGTGGTTGGTGTCTCGGAGGAGCAGCCTAGATTGGTAGCCACAGGAAGACCTCGTCTTATCAGCAAGGAAGATAAGCAGCAGTTAAGAGGCAGGGCAGGGAGAAGGGCAGGTAGCTGTGCTGCCGCGCTGTGCCCCTCCCTTTGCTCTTGCTATTTTGTACCACGATGAACAGCTGCCCTCTGCCATGTGCCACCCTGCCTTGGAGCCAGCGGAGAGGGGACTGAAACTTCCACTACCTGTGAGCCAAATAAACCTTTTCTTGCTTAATTCTGGGTGCTGGATGTCTGTCCCATCAATGAGAGAAAAGTAACTGAGATACCTTCTCTGAAATATTATTGAAACAATCTTTTGCTCCTAAAGAGAAAAGCTACAAAAAATCACAACTTAGAAATGGAAATAACCACATTCAAACAAATGATTCAATAGAAATACCTACTTGGCCACTGCTGGGAAGCATTCGGAATAGCCTCCCGTGGGTGTCACTGTCCCTCAGCACCCAGGGGGCATCGTCTTACGAACAGTGCGTGGGGAGATACAATCGCTGGGCCCCACTGTGCGGAGCGCTCTGTGCGCAAGGAGGCTCCCTGGGAGGCTGCCTCTGAACCCAGAATACCGGACACCCCACACATGCGCAGCCTCAGTGAGTTTAATTGGCTGAATTTTCTATCCTCCCTATGAAGGCAAATAAATAGAAAAACAAACAAACAAAAAGCCCCAAGTGTACAGCGTATGGTGAACCTCTGAAATTAGCTCACCACAGGCCAGAACATCGTTCTGGAAAGAGACCCGCAGCCTGTTTAAGAAACAAGTTATTCCGGTTGCAGAGTCAGGTGGAGAAACGGGCACCTGATTGCACCAGCTCCGCAGTGCGCCTGTGGCCGCACCACAGTGCGCCGGGACCGCGTGCTGACGTGAGGGCGGCGGGTCAAGGACAGGCGCAGTGGTTTCCAGTGTGCTCCATTTATATACAGGTAAAGCTTTTTACTGACGTTCAGAGGCTTCCATTACATTTTTAACATTAGATTCTAACTTCAGAGGTGGTCTGGAAGCATTCACCGGATTCGGAGTTTCAAGATCTTTTTTAAGTCTTAAAAAATCTGTTGAATCCTTAGTAAAATGTAAGTTTTCTGTTTGGACCAGTTTTCCTCTTTCTTCAACAAAAAGTCAATTACACCTCTACTTTATTTTAATTTAAGAATTAAGAAATAATAGTCTTCAGAAAGAAACCTTCTTCAACATGCCACTTGCCTATTTCTAAGCAAAAAGCAAACTGCACAATCTGGCAATTTTCCCTGGAAAACACAGGGGAGCGAGGACTCTGTAGCTCCTAGAATATCTTTTCTTTCCTTAATAATTCACATTCTTTATTTTAGTTCATAAAACAATCCTTTCGAACATCATTTGGAGGAGACAAACATGAACAGACTAAGTGTGGTTCTCCAGCGCGTGAGCGGCGAGCGCAGGGTTTGAACCTACGCCCAACTCACGCTCCTGCTCCAGGGCAGGCTCCTCCTCCTCCTGAGCCCAGAGGACGGAGCTGGAAAGGTGAGCAGCAGCCACACACGTTTGCTGTCTGGACATCTGTGCTGCATTAAAGTTCAGACTGAACTCCACACTTGTCACACCGTCACCATGAAGGACGCCTTGATACGCACTGTGCAGAAACTGTAATGTAGTTTTCAAAAAGTAAAAATAAAAATCTTCTAAGTATACTTTCACACAGGCAGATCACTACGAGTCCGATCTAGCAGTGAGACCCTAAACACCCTGTAGACCTTTCCCTAAAAATAAAGTATGCTTTTACCTTTTACCAGTACACATGCTGCCTAAGCCAGCACTATACTTGTACTTACAACATTCCCTTATATTTTTATGCTACCTGCAAGCACACTGATGCAAGACTGACTCCCTGGGGCTACGCTGACAGGACTGCGCTGATTCTCTACCAAGAACAGTGTGAGCTGATTTTCTTTTCACAGGTTAGAGCAACACAGAAGGAAAGGAAATACTATTTTTTTCAGGACTAGAAAGAAAACCATTTTATCCACTATTAAAATTCCTCCATCTCGCGCATCAAACTGTAAATCTGGAACACCCCTCAAGATGAGCCCACTGGGCTGGGGAGATGGCTCAGTAGAATAAGCACTTGCCTGGCAAGCACAAGGACTGAGTTCAATCCCCAGTTCCGCCAAAAACAAAACAAAACAAAAAAACGAGCCCACTTACTTCCAAGCTGCCCCTCTTGACGGGGTTCAGCACCAGCAGCTTCTTGAGCAGGTTCTCGCAGTCCGTGGACATGTAGAAGGGGATGCGGTACTTGCCCCTCAGGACCCGCTCCCGCAGCTCCTTGACAAAGCAGACAGAAGTGCTTACAAGGACGGCCTGGAGACCAGGGCATCTGGGGGGACAACACCCACGCCCCACTGAGCGGTACCTTCAGATTCTGGCCGTCAAAGGGCAAGGAGCCACTGACCAGCGTGTAGAGAATGACGCCGAGGCTCCACACGTCCACCTCGGGCCCGTCGTATTTCTTCCCTTGGAAGAGCTCGGGGGCGGCGTAGGGGGGGCTTCCACAAAATGTGTCCAGTTTGTTCCCCACTGTGAACTCGTTACTAAAACCAAAGTCAGCAATTTTAATATTCATATCAGCATCAAGAAGAAGGTTTTCAGCCTGAGAGGAAAATAATAGAAAGGACAATGTAAAAAGCACACACCAAGTAAGTCTTTGTACTTGTTTCAGAACCTGAACTTACATACTTTGTCTCTTGCTTTTAAAAGCATCAAATTTGGAAGCCCACTCTGCACTGTGGAGCTGCGCCACGGAGGTGCTCCCCGTGACCGCCAGTGAGACTGAAGCTCAGCATTAGAAAGGGAGCGCTCCGAGCTGTCCTGCAGACACGGCCGGCAGTGCGTGGAAGAGGTCGCACCCAACGCCTGCTTCCTAGCTTCATGGCAAAAGGAACCGAGACTACACCTTGACTAGGTCTGCAGGACAAAAGCCAGTGCCACACTGTCCTCGTGCACAGGGAGCCACGCCTGTCCACCTGACAGGGCAGCCTCCGTGGACGCGAGGCCCAGAGCTCACCTCCCCGAGCCCTCAGCGGGTCCTCTTTCCCCAGCCAAGTGCTGTGTGTGCGAAAGGGCACGAAACAGTGCGGCCCTGCGGACTTGTCTGCTTCCAGCTCCCTTCTCTGCTCTGAACCTAGTTCTGTCCCAGAGTTCTGTCCTGTTGCCCCGTGTAGAGAGGCTGATTTCTGAATACCCTAAAACAGAATCGTTCAAAGATGAAATTTTAAATGTGCCTGTGGCGGGCACAAGGACTCAAGAGAGAACCTGCTCCTGAGTGTTTCGCTTCAGACTCCGCTTCCACTGACAGACACAAAACGCCACGGGCTACCCTGCAGTGTGCAGACCCCAACTAGGAGTAGTTGGGGTCTTTTCTTCTGACCAAGAAGAAGACCACCGCATATCTTCATTCTGAAGCGCACCGGGTGGCGCCAGCCACACGACCTCAGGCTCTCGCACACGAAGGGCTCTGGTCACCGTGAGCTCCAGGCAGAGGTGAGCACTGCCCTTCGGCCCAGGCACCTGGGTCTGGTGTCGCCACCTCACTTCTGAGGAACGGGGTCTTCCACGCTTTGGGGAGGGGATACATTTTTTCATTTTTCTATCTAAAAGTAAGAGATGGTGCCTCAAGCCCCCAGCTCCTGACGCCAGGTGACCCCTCCCCACACGGCCTCTCCTCGGTGGGGCGCAGCTCTCCACAAAGCCACTGGAGAATCCCCTGAGAGTTGCCCGCCTCAGCCTAGCTGGCAGCCAAGCAGACAGCTCTGACAGCACTATGGAATGCACGTCGCTGGGCTTTCTGCTACAGAGGCAGCGACTGACCTTGAGGTCGCGGTGAACGATGCACTTCTGATGACAGTACTGCACGGCAGACACAATCTGAAATAAGCATGCGGATAAGCGGGTCAAAATTACTTTCTAGTAAATAATACTGATTTTCCCACAGTCATCAACTCCAATTTAGATTACTAATTTGGATTTCAAAGTAATATTTAGTAATTTCACTATTTCTTTAATTTAGAAAATTATACATGTTAGCAGGAGGAAAGTTACTCTTAAATGTAGAAACTGTGGAGAAGCAGTACGGAAACCCACTAAAGCTTTCCCTTCAGCCCGCAGGGACGTGTGTGCAGCACCCCGTCTCCGGCTGTGCAGTGCGCAGCTCTGGCCCGAGGTGCCCCGCAGCGCTGAAGTAGCCGCTCGGCACAGGCGAAGCACCCTCAGGCCGAGGCCAGAGCTGAGCAGCACAGCTGCAGCTGAGGAGCACGTCAGACGCGTTCAAGGCACGCTTTCTTGCTTTCTGGAGTTAGTAAGAGGTGTATGGCAACATCCAATACCTATCTGTTCAAATATAGAAAAATAGGAACTATTTTGAATTTTTTTTTGTACTGGGGATCGAACCCAGGACCTTGAGCTTACCAGGCAGGCGCTTACGCAGCTGAGCCATCTCCCCAGTTTTGAATCTTAAAACACCCAAGCATCGAAAGAAAAAAGGGAAAATGGAAATTTCTTCTTCGGTCACTAATATAGCGGGCAAAGCGTTCTGCACACACCCTGCGTGCAGCTGTGACGTCCCACCATAGCAAGGTGTCCTCTGGGGACAAGGCCACAAGAAGCAGCCAAGAGCTTAGGAGCCAAGAGGGAAACACTACTAGGAAATTCTCTGATAGCTCTTTATTCAATAAAAAGTGGTGAGAATCTGACAGCCGCAGATAAAGTGTCCTTTATAGTGCACCCTGATCATTAGATCTAATGGGCAGGAAAGTGACCACTGCGGTGCACAGTGCCATGTCCACTTTCGTGGCTTCAGCCACCTCTATGCAAATATATTACATAGAGGTGGCGAGAACAGTAATATATTTGCATAGAGGAACAGTACTATATTTACAAATGGAGAAGGAAACGAGATTTTTAAAAATGGTGTAAAGTATGACCATGCTAACAGGAATACAGGTGGGGAAAACTTCAAAGCAGAGTGAAACTGTATTTCAGCCTTAGAAAATTACCCTAATGTACATTACAATAAAGACAAATGAGGTGACTGAAAACAAAATGGTCAATACAATGAGCAGTAGATACGCTATCCGATTCACTGGCTCAGCTCACAGAGTCCCAGCTATGTGCAAGAAAATGTGCTTCCAGGGCCTCCCCGTCGGAAGGGGAGTGCGGGCCCAGTGGGGCGAGAGGGTCACAAACAACCATGATTTCTGTTGGAAACACTTCCCAGAACAGGCGCTACCTGACCTCAGCCACCACTGAAGGACAGTGCCAGCTTTAAATGTTGGGGGGGCAGTGAGGCGTGGGATGGACGCCGCCAGTCCCTGGGTCCCACGCAAGCAGACTGCAGGCGCGCTGAACTCACCTATCCAGGGGGATGTGCATGTTTACGACCGTCTCCCAGTGTGCGTCTCCAACATAACAAATATTTATAATGCTAGCTTCAAGCAGTCTGCTTCAGAATTCTAACACCCAGCTTCTCTAACTCATGTTTGTCAGTCACAGGACCTCCACACCTGCATGTGTATTTTATTTTATTTTTATGTATTTGGTACAGAGTCTCACTACACAGCTCGGACTTGACTTGTAGTGATCTTACTGTTTCAGCCTCCCCAGTGCTGGGATTACAGGTGTGCCCCACCATGCCCAGTCTCAGTGGCCAACTCAGCATGCCCAGGATGGGCTGGCACAGCCCGTGGTGCCCGGGATCGAGCCCTGGTCCCCACGCTTGCCTCAGCTATCTCGCTGGCCCTCTGCCTGCGTATTTTAATGCATGTCCTAACACAGCTTAGAGTGTGTGCACACTGCTAGGCAGCTCCTATACATGGATGTAGGAATGTGCTGATGCTGGTGCCGTTTGCACATGTCATGCACATGTACGACACGCTGCAGCCACGCTGGGTACGGTGAGGTCACCACGCGTAGTCGGAGGCCAGGGGCTCACAGCAGGCACGGTGGCCTCTCTGACAGCAGCGCCAGCTGAGCAGAGCTTGGCGAGCAGCAAGGTGCCTCGGCAGAGTGCTGTCTGCTCAGCGTGATTCACACAGGGAGAGAGCTCCGAGCTGGGAGCCACGGAGGCGCTCGGCCGATTCCCATGCTTGCCCAGCAGGGGGCACTTTCTGCCACAGAAGTGGCGCGATGTTTGGGTTTCTGCATCTACCCCAGAACCCACACCCACATGGCCAAGTGTCGCTGCAGTACTTTTGCTACATCTGGACGCTCCGACTCAGAAGGTTCTGCCCCCCAGTGAGGATGCGGGGCCTTCTCTGCGGCCTGTGCGTGCGGGAGCCCGAGGACAGCACTTAGAGGCGGCCCTGAGGTGACCTTACGGCTACCTGTGCCTGTGCCTTCTCGGAAGGGACAGCTGTTGGGGCCGCCTGGGGACTGCTGGCAGGGGCAGGAAGGCCTGTGCTGTGGCGTGCAGGGCCCTTGAGGCTGGACTCAGTACGAGGACTGCATAGCCGGCCACGAGTTCCATGGGCGGCTGCGGCGCGGCGGCTAACAGCCCCCAGCTGTGCCGGTGCCTTGGCTGCCCCGACAGGGTCAGGGACTCGAAGCTGTGTGCCCTTACTAACGCGGAACATTGCTTCACTGTTAAAGAAAATTCTTAAAGCAGAGAAAACAAAACAAATGTATGTGTATTAATTGTTAAGAATTTAAACTCATGGGGCCGGGGAGATGGCTCAGTGGAATAAGCGCTTCCCTGGCAAGCACAAGGGCTGAGTTCAATCCCCGGTTCAAAAGAAAAAAAAAAAAAAAAAGAATTTAAACCCATAAAGAAAAATAAACTCAAAAATAAACTTTCTAGTTTTGGGGGAACACACATAAATGTGAGGTATATTTAACATTTATATACATAAGTAATTATACATATTTCCCACTGTTTTACAGCAAAGGAATTGGCTGATTATCTTGTGCTGGAAATGGAACCCAGAGCCATCAGTGTCCTAACCCCCCAGTTTCCCAGACTGTTCTGCACTGAGCTGGTCTCCTCAGGCTGCCAGGTCTGGGTCTCCGCCTCAGCCTCCCTGAATGCTGGAACTGCAGGCATGCACCACCATGCCTGGCTAAGTTTATATTTTATTCTATTTGTATCTTAGGGAGGAGTCTAGGGCTGGGGAGATGGCTCAGTGGAATAAGTGCTTCCTTGGCAAGCGCAAGGACCTGAGTTCAATCCCCGGTTCCACAAAAAAAAAACAACAAAAAAACAGGGAGGAGTCTACAGGGGGTTCAGGGTCTCACTACTAGAGTGGCCTTGTAGTGATCCACCTGCTTACGCCTGTTACGGCCTCCCAAGAGCTGGGATTATGGCGCCACCATGCCCAGTCTCAATTGCCATCTCAGCATGCCCTGGGGGCAGGGCCAGCACGGCAGGCCTGGGGATCGAATTCCCAGCCCCTAAAGCTTAATTTTACATTTTATTTTAATTTTTATTAATTTTACATTTTAAATAGCATTAAGTAGACACTGAACTTCAGGAACATGAAGAACATACATCTAAAATTAAAAATAATTCACATGCTGTTTGAAAAAGTGAAGTTGGTGTTAGTTAATTACTCTATCTACGTGCACCCATTTTCCAGTCAGCGCTGGGACTACAGCATGGTCCATGTGTGGGGTCAGGAAGCACCTCTGCTCCAACCTCCTGTCCACCTACTCTGTAGAGTAGCAGGCATTTTCCGCCTCTAATTTATTTTAACTTTATTTATTTATTTATTTTTTGTGGTACCAGGGATTGAACTCAGGACCCTGTGCTCGCCAGGCAAGTGCTTATTCTACTGAGCTATCTCCCCAGCCCTATTTATTTAATGTATTTAGTACAGGGTCTCACTACGCAGCTAGGCTGGCAGCATGTGGTTCCCGGGATTGAACCCTGGTCCCTGCGCTTGCCTAAGCAGGCATTTAGTCCACTGAGCGATCTGGCCAGCAGTCCTCCAACCTAACTTCGTAGAGTTCCAAGCACAATTTTCCACACTATGTATGTTTTTAAGAAACAGGGAGAATTAGGAGACTAAAAAGGAAAAGGTTAGGTAGTAATAATCTCTAAAATACTCATAAATTAAGATTCCAACAGAAATAACACCAAGTAGCTACAGACTAAAACCACTGTGACTGATACTAAAAAAATGATGCTACAGTGATGTCCACAGCACTCCCAGAAGAGCAAACGTAGCCCTCCATGCCCACAGAGGAAGGAATTTCACAGAGAGGGGCTGAACATGGCTCAGTTCCTTCATGTGGCCTTCCACAGTGCTGGCCGTTTTGAGCTCACAGCTGCAATCTGAGTGCTTCTAGGGCTCCGTCCCAAATACAGGGCTATGCGTGTCTTTGACACTGGGCAAGCTGTGTCCCAAAGAGTGATGACTCTGCAGGACCTCAGGGACAGAGATGATGCAGACCAGCCCCATGATTCTCTTGGGAAATGCCATTTCAAGAAAGGTAAATGGATCTTTCCCCTTCCTCTTTCTCCTGAAGGTTTCGCTGACTGTGTAATATGTTAACCTAAAGAATTCCCTCTGAGGGGCTGGTGAGATGGCTCAGTGGTCTAAAGCACCTACTTAGAACAAGCTTAGCAAAGCACAGGGACTGCAGTTCAATCCCCCAGCACCACATGCCAGCCAGCCCTGCTCCCTGGTGGGCTGAGCTCACACACACACACACACACACACACACACACACACACAAATAAATAAGATTTAAAAAAAAATAAAAAATAATAAACTATATAAAAAAAAAAGGCTGGGGAGATAGCTCAGTAGAATAAGCACTTGCCTGGCAAGCTCAAGGTGCTGAGTTCAATCCCCGGTACTGGAAAAACAAACAAACAAACAAACAAAAAAAAGAATTCCCTCTGAGCGGGGGGATCCTAACCTCGCTGACCACGCAGTAGCGCCCGCAATTACAGCAGAGGCGGGGAGCAACTTGTAACTGAAAATTCTATGTTCATGCCAGGGATGTTTGGGGTATTACAAGTTGGCTGTTGGACCTTACCAGAATGCATTTTATGAAAAAGTTATAATTCATCATTTCTATAAAAATTGATTAAGTAGACTTACTTTTACTATTTTAGTCCTAAAAATGAAAATAAAATTCTAGATGATTTTAATTATTTTTCCTTATTTTATAGTTTCTGTAGCAATCATATTGAAGTTTCATTGTGGCAAGGCTCTTTGCCTAGGCTAAATAAAATGATCTACATTTTTCTGATCTGTAAATGAGTTTCAATATCAATACACATTTCACTATAACAGAAAAAGAATGCAGTAACCTCCTTAAGCAGTCCACATCTAGGCTCTGTACAGGCCACCTACCATGCCAGACCCAAGACTGCCTCAGGCACCGCAGGGCTCACGCCGTCCCTTCTGTCTTGATCTGGTGTATATTTCTAAGACTCAGAGTTAAGGGGACTCTCATAAAAATTCAGTGTTTATCACCAAAAATAACCATCTGCAAGTATGTCAAATTTAAATTCAGGAATCTAGGTCTTTGTCTCCGAGTTTTGCAATCTTGAAAAGTGTAAGCCAGCAGGAATCCAGCTTCCTACGGCATCTCGCACACCCAGCCCAGCGTGTGCTTCCACCCACTGTACATCGCTACACACAACAGCAGAACAAAATCAAAACCACTTTCCGTACCTGCCTAAACTTCGAACGGGCCTCCTTTTCTTTCATTCTTCCGTGGGCAACTAAGTAATCAAATACTTCACCTGAATCAGAAAGGCAGAGCAGGTAGTCAGACATACAGAACTTGGTTAGCAACATACGCAACGTCAAACTTTTGCAGCAACTTCTGGCCCACGACTTTCTACTACACCTTTGTAAGTCACAAACCAAAGACACGAATAGGAAAAAGGGAAGAAATACATATAGCACTGGGTATCTGTAACACGTTATGATTTAGTAGAACCCTTCAAAAATACGTCGTAAAAACATAACCAAGAAAACCTATTTTCTGCCTTCCAGTGTTACGTGCAGACCCAGCCAACTCTACTACCGCCCTGATACGGGGAGCCCTGCCCGGGAAATGCAGACTGCACGGCTCTGTGTTCGGGCCTCCGGTGCAAATGCCCTCTCTGAAGTTCTACCAAGCGTGGAGCCCCAGCCAAGTGCCATCCCGCCGCCACCTGAATTCTTTCTTCTCCTTCCTGTGCAGGTCATGGGACGTGCTCACTCTGCTCAGACACTCTGACAGGTGACGCTAATTACATAAAACTAAGGCACACACTCGATCATGTACGCGACCCAAGTGCACTACAAATCTCTTTTGCTTTTTCAGTACTGGGGATCAAACTCGGGACCTTGCGCTTGCTTGGCGGGTGATGAGCTGTGTCCCTAGCCCTGAGCCTCTGCACATCATCATCATGTCTGCACTTTATTTGTGTCCTCTTCATGATGGGACACAAAGTGGCAAGCAACAAAGTCATTAAAATAATAAGTTACTAGGTGCCAGAGAAGACTGCTAGGAGATCCATTCCCTTATATATTTGTGTTTTAAATTTTTCTCTGGTCGGTTTAGTAAAACAAACTAACTTTTAATTATAATTTTAGAAATAAAATATCTCAGTGTACTTATAATGTGCAACATACAGATATACATGTATATTAAAAACGAGTGGCTTTTAAAGATCCTGTTTAATACAGCAAAGCTGTTAGAAACGCAGGCGTTAGGATCAGATCTATGAACCTGAAGAGAAGATTTCTTCACTCCTTAAGACTGAGTTTCCACCTACTGCCTGCTCACGTGGCCCCTGGGGCAACGCAGGAGGCGACACGTGCGGGGCGGTGACTGGCCCCAAGCGGCGGCACGCAGTCGGTGCGCGGACGTGTTCCAAGTGCATACACAGCACAACCCTAGGGTGTAAGCAAAACAGTGACTCAACATGCACTGGAAATGTGTCAGATGAAGCAAATGCACCCACAGTGTCAGGAGCCGTTACACCCAGCACACTGAGGGATGTCGAGGATGGCAGGGACAGAAGTGCAAGGACGTCCTGCTGACTCATCAAGGAGTTTTAGATCTGGGTTAACAGTTGTTAACTTCAGTTAGGAACCCATCTTAGTCCCTAACAGGACCTCAGAGATTTGGCTCTGCTCTTGGCCATGCCTAGACTGCCCGCACCCTGGACATCTGCGCAGGCCAGCACCCACTTACCGTGTGCATGCGTGGATGACCTGCCTTCCCGACCACCACACAGGCTCAGGGACACTGCCCCCGTCCCTGCTCACCTGCGCATTCTCCCTTCTAGAACCCTGCCTGGGAAGTGCTTCATAAACCCTGTTTCCCTGAATGCAAGAGGGGAGAAACACCACCAGAGCAGACCCGAAGCCTACTTTAATAGGCTCCATTAGACCAAACACAGCTCAAAGTCGTACAGGTCTCCCTGACTTGCTCCCAGCGCAGCCTTCACCCGCTCGGCTCCAGAGCCAACTAATCAACCCTTTGCAAAGGGGCAGCTTCTGCCTCAGCTCCAGCCATGCAGGAGCTTGTGATGCTGTCTCTCCGCCTCACTCCACCTCACTCCCTGCAAGGCCCCTTGCTGTGTCAGGGAGGCTGGCGGTGACCCTGCTGCTGGCCTGGCCATGGTGCCCTTTACTGGCACCTACAGACAATTGCCTGTTCCTGCCACCAACACATCAGGGTGTTCACTGTCACATTAGCACAGTCTCGGATTTTGTGCCTCAAAGTGTAACTAGCCTCTGTCTCCAAACTTCAGATCACTAGCAGGAAAAAAAAGTCAAAGTAAGCTTAAAATAATTCAGGATTCTCATGCTGACAAACTGAAACATAAAACTAAAGTATAGAACAATAAAAAGTTCATTATGTGGTATTTGAAGGTTTATTCATTTTATTACAGTTCTATATTTTATGCAAACATACCTGGATATTAATTTTTTTAAGGTATTTTGTGCAGGATCTCACTACACGCTTGAACTCAGTGATCTTCCTGTTTTCAGCCTCCCCAGCACTGGGATTACAGGTGTGCGCCACCATGCCTGGTCTTTGTGGCTGGCTCAGCTTGCTTGGGGGTGGGGCCGGGGTAGTATGTGGTGTGGGGGATGGAACCCAGGTCTCTGTGCTTATGTAGGCAGACTATTAGTGTGCTGAACTATCTTGCTGGCTCTGGATATTTAATTTTTTAAATCCTGTAATAATAAGCATTACTGAACAAGGTTTTCAGATTTTTTCCCCCCCAGAACCAGGGATTGAACTCAGGTCCTTGTGCTTACCAGGGAAGTGTTTATTCCACTGAGTTATCTCTCTGGCCCCTAGGGTTTTCAGATTAAGGGGGAAAAAAAAACCCCTAAATTGAAAAGTTTTCAGGGTAAAAAGAAAAGGTTTGAAAAAAAAAAAAAAAAAAAGAAGAAGAAGAAGAAGCCTAGGGGCCAGGGAGATAGCTCAATAGAATAAGTGTTTGCCTGGCAAGCACAAGGGCCTGAGTTCAATCCCTGGTTGGTGGGGCGGGGAAGTCCTGGAGCAACAGGGAACAGGGCAACTAAAAACAAATACAAGCCTACTAATCTGTATGAATAAGCAGAAAGCAACTAAATACATTTAGCGTTTATAATTTTTTGAAGTCTGCAAGCCTACTTAGACAGGTCTGGATAGCTGCCGAGACTGAGGTCAGCCCCTGGGCTGCAGCTTCCACGCACTGTCCGTCACACAACAATCTGAGAACTTCGGTGGTCGAGAGCTCAGCACAAAGGCCCACACTATTTCCTACTGGTCATCAGAAGGTTAATCAGCCAAATCACTTCAGCTGCCCTCTATTTTTTCCAATTTCTCACATTCTGTGGGCCTTGAAGACATTCCTTTCAGTATCCTTCATTTATTAAATTCCTTAACTGTAAATTTAAATACCTTCCTGAGAAGTACTAATGACAGCAATTTTGAGTCAATTTGCCGCTCATTTAAGAGACAAAAAGAGATTTTCTTCGGCGTATCAGTATTTAGAAATCCTTCACATTCGGACACCCTGAGAGCTGGAACACACAGCATGTCACGCAGCAGACAGGCCGTGCTCCGTCCCCGTCCACGCGGTCCTCGACCTCACACGATGTGCACTCGTCCCCGCGGGAGCGTCCGCGGCACATCTCAAAGCTGTGCACACACGGAGCCCACCACGCGCGCTCGCGGTGAGACGGCAGCTGCCCGGACGCGCCCGGTCGGGACCTTCCTCAGTGCGCTCCGCGTGAGAGACGACTGCTTGCTGCCCCGAGCTCCCAACCAAAATATCGCTCTATATCACTATTATTATTATATGTAAATAAGCAAATTGAAATTGTCATAAGATAACAAAACACATTTAGAGTTTCAAAAATGCCCCTAAATATTTTTTGGATAATTCACAAAGAGCCAGTGAGTGTTATTAATTCCACTTCGCTCCTCTTCCTCCTTACCCCCACTTGCGTATTCCATGATTAAATACAGGGTCTTCTCTGTTTCAATAACTTCAAACAATTTCACTAGAAAAAGAAATCAGAGACAGAACTGTGTAACTGTTAGCACAGAACGCATGCATTTTAAACAGCCTAATGTAACACGAAGCCAGTGAAAAATTGGAGTAAATTTCTAGAAGCAATTAACTGTAATCTCAAACTCGAAGTTTGTCAAGAGTTACCACTCCTATGGAAGAAAATGATTTACTACAAAGCGACAAAGTTTCTGAGATAAAAAACATATCTTTTCTAATCAGATTAAGAAAATAAAAAGAAAAACCCTAAAATCAGACAAATTTTTTTAAATTGCTTAAAGGAAACTTCTATAATAAGGGATCATAAAATGTTAAATAACCTTTTGTATTAAAACAAAGTATCTCTAGGTACTATTATAAAAGTTTCTGGTAAAAACAATTAGACTAATATAGTTAAATTATTTACCACTAATAATCATATTAATAGCTATAAACAGACAAGATTTTTAAAATATGTAAGAAACAAACATTTGAAAAATAAACAGATTTTAAAGAACAGTTTTTTACTTGTTCCAATCAAGTAGCTTTATGTAATAATATAGCTAATCAATAAATTTATTTGTGATGATGGGGAAAATCAGAAATTCACCAAATTCTCAATCTCTTGAAAATGCATCGCTATTTTGCTTCTCAACTATGATCAACCTCAAGTGTGTATTATTCAAATACCTGGAATCCATTTTTTAGAAATATCTAAAATGGCACGCACTCTATATGGAGATACAAAACATTTATATGCATTAAATCCTCATTGTACCGATTATTTTGATAGCAAAATACAGCAAAATGGTAGAGAGCAGCCATGTGTAGCCTTTAGTCAACTTCCTTCCAAGCTATTTTTACCCAGTGTCACTTTCCCAATCTATCACTTTCTTTTACTCCTATGAGGCATTCTTAAAGGTGTATCTTTTAAAAATATCTCCCAATTATAGAAAACACTGTCATTAATTGTGTACACAAATTGCATACCTATATTAGGGTGGTTCAAGATCTTCATTATGCGCACTTCTCGAAACAGCTGTCAAAGAAATCAGATACACATTTGTTTTAAAACCAAGGTTCAAGCAAAGAGCCACCGAAAACATCCACAGGAAGAGAACCACAGCTAGGTACACCCAAGTGGCCCTGCGCCTGTGCGGACTGCCCACATGCTGCCTGCCCACAAGGGAACTGGCACTCTACTCAGTGACCTTTTGGAGTAGGAACAAAAGAAAAATCCTCAGAGGGTGGAGTTGAAGAATCCCATGCATTTTAGCCTGAAGCAGCCTGCCCTGTGCTCCAACTCCTTCAGGTCACTTCTTTCGTTTCATGAGACATTTTAATGAGCCGCAGGAGCATCTGACTCATAGAATAACAGTATAATCTGGCATTTCCCCCGCTATGTTGCTTGAGAATGGGTTAGATTCAAAATAAAGCAATTTGTTCAAGAAAATAGAGGAACCAAGAGTTGATGATGTTCCAAAAAGTCTATATTAAGACATATGTGTTCTGCAGAATAAAACCTAAGATTAGTGTTTCCAGAAATGGTGCTTCTCCAGAGATCTATAAATGGCCAAAAAGAACATGAGAACATACTTAACTTTATTAATTTTAGGATTAATATAAGTCAAATCCACAATAAGATACCTCCTCATACTCTTTAAGTTGACTACTGTTTTTTTTTTTTTTTTGCTCCGAATGCCTTCAAGGCATGACTGGCTGTCTTGTGTTGTGGGGATCGAACCACAGCAACCTGAGCCTGACTGCTTTGTTGAAGCAGCCACTTAAAGAACTGAGCTAAGGGGCAGGCCCCCTGACTACTATTTTTTAGAAGAGCCAGATATGGTGACAATGACCACAGTCCCAGAACACTGGTAGGCTGAGGCCAGAAGATCACAAGTTGAAAGCCAGCCTGTGCAACTCAGTGACTCAGTGAGACCTTATCTCAAAGGAAAAAAAAAAAAAAAAA